AGTTTGCCTAAAGCCTAGATGTGCCTGTTTTCAGAGCGATCCTTATCGATTTAATAAAATCAAGCATTATCCCAGCTTCCATAAATTCCTGAAGAATATCTACCAGGAGAAGCCAGAGGAAAAGCTGGCAAAACATATATACGCCTCAGGGTACAAATCCTAGGAGGCACATTCATACGACTTTCCTCAGCCAGATCTTTCATCTTCTCTGTTCCTGGGACTTGAGCTGCTTCCCTGTGCAAGTGTCTTGCACTCACACAGAAGTAGGGACGCTTCCCTCCTCTGGGCAGTCCCGTAAAGACATCCCATCCCATCCCACACGTTCTTCGGTAGCTGTGGTCCTCATTTTTCACCTCAACAGTCTACTCATGCTTTCCTGAAGAGAACAGACTGGCTCTGTCTCCCTCCTTTGCACACTGGACTTCCTATAAATAGGTAGATAATAAAGAAAATGTTTAGACAGAAGTAGTGTGGGAGTCATTGAATTTGAACCTCGCTCATTTGGATCTGGACCAGGGGAATCCCGATCCCCTTTAGCCATCTTAGCAATGTTTATGTTGTGCTGTTACCTCAAAACGGAGCGCTTTTGGGACAGCGCTGCTGTGGAGGAAGACGAGATTGCGTGGTGTCCTCTGCTTCCAAACAGGGAGTTGACCCAGTGGACCATTGCCAGTGTTTGTGTTTGTTCTGCAGCAACCGATGCGAGCCAGGCATTGCCAGCTGTGCCAGCGCTGCGTGCGGCGTTACGACCATCACTGTCCCTGGATTGAGAACTGCGTAGGAGAGAAGAATCACCCGCTCTTCATCGCCTACTTGAGCGTGCAGCTTGTCGTTCTGCTGTGGGGAGGGCACGCTGCGTGGTAAGGCCTGGAGTGGGCACTTTGACCTCCGAGGTTGCTGAAAGTTCTGGTGCTCCTAGAGCCCAGTGGAGGGTTTAGATAGAACATAGCAGTGACCGGATTGGCTTTGTATCTTCACCCTCTCTTGCATCCTGGAGATCAGCTCTTCTGAGCCCCCTGATCTGCTGAGCGACAACAGAGCTACCGGTGGTTGAGCAGAATCTGATAATTTGGGTTTCGTTGTTCATCTTTGTTTTAAGCTGAAATTAACAGGATTAACAACAGTACAAAGGGTAACTGATTTTGCTTCGGTTACTGTAATACGATCTTTGTTTACAAATCAAAGTACTGGAAACTCCAGCGGGGTTTCACCTCTGTGGCTGCTCAGGAAAGGAGTTAACTGAAGAGGATTGTCTCAGCTGTCAGGGGAACCAGCATGTTTTAAACTTCTTACAAGCTAAGTCACTACTGGTGCAGTCTCTTAAGAGTCCGTAGTACGTTCAAGTCTCTGTAGTACACGATTATCAGAAGCTCACTAGTTATGGGTCAAACGTAAATGTGCCATCAGGTTTGCTTGGCTTATGTAACTAGCTCTGCATCTTTAACCATGAATTTATTTCTTTTTGAATTGAAAGGTCAGGCCTCTACTTTGAACAGTCCTGGGACTGGCTGCAGCACAACATTTTCCTCCTCTTGTCCTTCCTCCTGATAGTCATATTCACCATTGTCGTCCTGCTGCTGCTTATTTCCCACCTCTATCTGATCTCGTGCAACACCACCACCTGGGAGTTCATGTCACACCATCGCATCTCCTACCTGCGCCACTCGGAGCTGGAGAATCCCTTTGACCAAGGGGTAGTCCTCAATCTCTGGAGATTCTTCTGTTCGTGCCACCTCACTGCATGGGAGAAAATCTACTTTCACAGGAACAACGAGCCCGTCTAGTCCCAGCAGTGCCGGCCTGGTAGAGCGCCAACACAGCTGCAGGTTGCTGGGTGAAGCTTTGGTAACGCAGTCGCTGCCGTTCCCTTGCACGGAACTTCAGTACGCCATGAACTATGCAGCCTGTGCATCCTGCAAATTGCGTTTCAAGGACAGTCAGGGTTATTTTTTATATATGAATTACACTGTTAAAGGCAAGACACTGGTTCTGGAAAGGCCAGCAGAGCTGACTGCTGGACTGAGCAAAGGTATCTCTCTAAATTTACTTCCTTTTGTTAACTGCATCCGCGTCTCTCCAGAAGAGATGCAAGAGTAGTGTGAGCATCCATGTTCACTTCTCTTCCTCCAAGTTTCCCTCTCCTTTTGCTGCTAGGGAACAGCAGCTATCACAGACAAAACCAGCCAGAATCAACATAATTCCCGTGGCCTTTCTTCAGCATAGTTCTCACTGTGAGAACTGCAGTACCTTTTGTCAGTGGCGTTGGGCACGTAATGGAAATATTTGAGTAAATATTTGGACAGTCAAAAGCAAATTTCATTTTGACCACATGCCTCAACTTTGCTTTTCACAAAGATTTGAGGCTGAATAATGCGAATGTGCATGAGAGACAGCAGTAAGGCACCAAATTCAGCTTACGGGATAATCAGCCTGTACTTTGCGATGCCCTGACCAGCTTCCTAACAGTTTTTTCTTTAAGTGGATGGTGCTGTTAACAATTCAGAGGCTATTTTGAGTCAAGTTGGCAAAGAACAATACCATCCACTTGCCTACTGAACTATTTGGGCAGATAACTTCAGGTTCAGGCCTTTCTTGAAGCTTGTGGGGAGAGAACCTGTAGCAGAGGTGGGTACTTCTTGCCTAGCTCAGGTAGCACTGTGGGTAATACTACTACCTCAACATACTAGTCAAATTTTAATAAAAGAACACAAAAGTTGCAAGGCAAGAGGAAAGAATCTAAGTCCTCTTTGTTTCATTTTGATGAGGGGCTGCTGATGGCTTTCTAGGACAGCAGCAAGCTGACTTGTTTTCCATTGGAATAAAAGGCCATACTTCAAGTTTCCATGAGGAACTAAAAGGAAGTATGGGATGACCAATTTCAGCTTTAAAAACAGAAAAGGCTGTGGTGGGAACTTTAGTCCTGACCCTTTTGTGCTTAAAAAAAAAAACCAACCAAAACAGCACCAACAAAGCACTAGTTAAAATTACTTTGTGCCTTAATTGCCTTGGCTCAGGAATTAACACCAGCTCAAGAGCACATCTGGCAAGCTGGTAGGATGCACTCAGGGTTTAAAGTTGACGAGCACTCATGAAGGGACAGTGTAGCCACTAACACAGCACGATAGTCCAAAAGCAGTTTAAAAACAGCAGAAGGATCCCTTTTTTGACCAACTCCAGTTTGTAATCTGGGCCCAGTCCGGTTTGTTCAGGGTAGAAGCTCATCTCAGAGGGATACCGGAACGTGGGAATTGTTTTCCTAACAGTGGCATACCATCCAGGAAGGATTCTGCAGTTTGCTTGTGCCAGTGTGGCGCCTGCTGAAGCACGGCTTGCCTGCCACGTGGCAACTTCTGGTTCTTCAGGTATCAGCCAGAGAAAAACTTGTCAGTGGGTTCTATGGCTCAAGACACACCGTTTTGCTCTGTTTGGTAATTCTTTTTAAAATGCACTAGGATGGTAATTTATGGTCTTTGTTTACTCTACTATAAACTATAAATGAAAAGATTAATTATGCCTTTTTTGGTTCTTTATGCCTCTCTCTTTGAACCCCAGTTCTAGGTTCACCTGTGCTAACAATCCACTCTGCTGCTTACCACTTTACAGAGGCCCTGACCGTAGGAAAAGTCACAAAACACTCTGTAGGGGCCAACAGCAAGCCGACCATTACTATTCAAACAAGGGTGAGGAAAACGCGTGTCCTGCTTTAAATGGGCCGTTACGCCGCAAGGCGGAGCAGGAGGTTGGAAGGATATTTGTACGTGGGAATTTTCAGAAGCAGTTATGCTTGGCTCTGAAAATAGGGAATCTAGGTTCAGTGTGAATTACTTCTGTTTTGCACAAACATAGCTCTTACCTCTCTGAGTTCTGAAGCACTTGGACCAGCCTTGATTCAATAATGACTCACTGGCTGTGCCTGACCCTTATCTCCAGGTATAGCACAATTGTGTTAGCTCAACTTCTGCCTACCTCAGTCAAAGACAAACTGAGAGAGGAATAGCTCTGCGTCCCTATTTGTCATCAGTGTGATGCTTCATTTCTAGATACCCTTCCTTTTTCTTTTGCCCAACAAGCTAACATGAATTTAAGAGAAGAAAATGTGTCTTATCGAGTATAATTACAAGATCTGTTACCAGGCAAATTAAATCACCTTTAACTTGCTGATTTTCTAATATTAACGCTGTCATTTAGCTACCCCAAAAAAGATACAGGATATACACATTGATAAAATCTGTGGAGACACAACTTGACTGCAATCATTTGCATGACAGCTGATGACACCATGCAATATGTACACAGACAACTTGAGTGAACAGGAAGGAAGAAAATATTACTATTGACATTTACAGAGAAAAATAAAATCCTGCCTGTTGAGTAGAACATGGTTAGCCCTGATCCGAAACATTCAGCTAACACAAAGCAGATGAAAAGCTGAAATTTTGTTATAAGGAAAGGTATCTTTATTGTCCAAAAAAATAGCATGTGCAAAGCTGTGGCTTTTTTTATATCATTAAAAACAATAGCTAAGATTTAGCATCCTCAAAGTAGTAGAAAGAGACTCCTTTTCCTTAAGACAGATCACTCGGATCATTATCAAACCCAAACATCATTGTCTTGGTTGTGTTAAAATCCATTCCTTCTCTGGCATACACATAGTTAGGAGTGGGAATGGGCATAAAATGGTTACAAAGAGGGAATGCTGCAGATCTTTTCTAGAAAATAGGTGAGAAGTGACCATTCCCCCTACTACTACGCACTTTAAAAAGCCGTGCTACTTACTGCAAAGAGTAACCTGGGTTGCAGGCGTGATTTGATTTCGTTAAGTCCAGCTTAAATTCCAAATTTCCATCTATATTCAATGGTAGCAGAAGATACATCCAGTCAAACATTAATTACTCCTTAAAGATAATTGATATCCAGTGTCCCTCCCACAAATGAGGCTGAAAAACCACAGCAGGTTAACTCAGCTTGCAGGGCGCGCTCATCCTGGGCTCATCGGCACCACCAGTTCTACAAATTCTGTTGACTTTGCCATTGCCCAAGCCAAGTCCTCTCTACACTCTCAAAAGGTGGAAACAATCTGTTCAGGAATCAAACTTCTAAAAGGTGTCTGGAGACAAAGTCAAAGTCCTTGAAGACAGTCTGCTCCTTACGGGTTAGGAGAGCAACCTCCTCTGGGGGAGTAAGGATTGGCTTTTGGGATGTGAACTCTTCATCGAAGTTGCTAATGTCGGTGGGATCTCTTAAAGTGGGCACAAAAGGAGGCTTCAGAGTCCTGGCAAACAAGGCATCCCAATCAATCTCCTGTAAGAGAGGGAAGTGAACAGGCCAGATTGACATTAAGATTATTTATGAAACGTGAAAGTAAGAGGGAGGATCGCAGCCTCCCTTCCAGATCATCTGCAACGTGTCTTATTTCTACTAATTAAAAAACTAAGACAAAACAAAACAGGAGAGAGAGAGAGAGAATTGAAAAAAGGCCCAAAACTAACAGCACTGTCTGTGCAGGCCAGGTAGTACAGAGATTCCACACAGTCTAAGGCTGTTCTTCAGAACACCAAGAAACAAAGTTCCAGTTCAAACTATATTTAGGAGGGACAGAGCTAAAGTCCAGCTGTGGTCAGGTGGATCCGTGGACTTCCCAGCAATTTCTGCTGACATCCAAGTTCTTACTCCAGCACAGAGCCAGCCAGGGGCTCTTATAGGTAATGACTTCTGGCAGCTGGGTAACGACAAGGAGGAACAGTGACACCTTTGCTTGGAACAGACGTATACCCTTGACCCAAAGCAACTGTGTCTTTAACCTCAGTTTCCCTTAGGATTCATGTATATCCTGCAAATGCAGGTGCCAACAAAGAGACTGACTGGAAATCACTGTGATCACTAGACAGCATCTTGGACTGCTGCAGTTTGATTTAAAAAGGGGTGTTCGTTGCTGGCTCAAAAGGTAGGTACATTTGTACATAGAAGCAGCACAATCAGAAACAACAAACAGGCTCTGGAAGCTTACAGATCCCAGAAAACACACAATCCAAACCGAAATTGAAACACACATTCCTGAATAGAGCAATGAAATGCAACAGAAGCTGCCGCTAAGATGTCACTGACAACTAACGGGAACATGCTTCAATACCCACAGAAAGCAAATCGCTCTCAGCTCAAACAGAAGAGATGAGGGGAAGGCATAAAGTGAATTCTTACCTTAAAAAAGGCCTGGATTTTAATCTCTTCTGCGTCTCTTTCCCCTGCTCCCAGTCTACGCTCTGGACACTTCCGAAGAAGCTGCAGGAAATATCAGTTCAAAGTTAAACAACTGGAACAAGGATGGACAGCAATAATGTTCCAGAGAAAAAACAAACAAACAAACAACCCAACAAAAGAAAGGAGATGGACTGACCCCTCAGTATCTTCTCATTCTCACTTTGCAGCAAGATCACAATCTGCTACTAATGGCTCAGACCTAGTTCCTTGTAAACAGCTTCCCCACATCAGTAAGATACCCGCTATAAACGGCACGAAGCACCTCATCTTAATTGTGCACCCGTGACCACGGGGGTCACATTCAAAAACGGAAACAAGCCATCTCCACTGGGTGACTGCGACATTCCTGCCCTTGAATCAACTCTTCTCCATTTCAGACTCAGCAGCACAGACCTCAGTAAGAAGCCTGCTTAGTCATCCTTTGACAGAAGAATGGCATTTATGTAAAGAGAAGGAAGGGAAAAACATGTAAATTTTAAACGTTCCCTTGGTCTGCGTAGGCAGCTCCAGATTACCCACACAAATGCTGGCCTGTCCTCATAGAGTCCCTCTGGATCCACTTACACAATGCAAACGTCAATGCAAATTCCTCAGGCTCCCCGAGACCCATCAAGCCCATTACCTTACGGATTATAGAAAGTGCCTCGGACGAAAGGAATCGTGGATACCGGACTTCGTCGTTGACAATACTGTCAAAGACTTCTTCCTCATCGTCTCCAGGGAATGGTGACTGCAATTGTGACATTTATTATTTAATCCACACAGCACCCATTCCTCGCTATTAAATAGGGATGAGAATAGCAGGGAGTTGTATGGATTAATTAGTGCTTGGCAAGCGCTATGAATGAGAAAAATGTCATTCAAGTACTCATAAATATTGGGCTACATTCAACAAAATTTTATCTCAGGTGGTTGGGTACTACTTTCCCCAAGTCTGCTTGGCAAGATCCTCTTAGGGAAAGGTGGCCTTACCTCACCAACAAGCATCTCATAAATGAGCACACCCAGTCCCCACCAGTCTACTGCCCGGGTGTACGAGACGTCCGTCAGGACTTCTGGAGCCAGAAATTCGGGGGTGCCGCAGAAGGTGTTTGTGCGGTCTCCAAAACCTATTCCTGTAGGAAGGGAACGCTTTAGTAAAATCCAGCACATGTTACTAAACGGGTCACATGCAGCCTCCCCTTCTGAAAGCCATGGCTTCTCACTTGATAATCTGCTGTTGTTAACTGGGCAAGGGTCTCATCAATGTTTGTAAATGCCAGTAAGGAAGTACAAAACCTGAAGCCCATTAGTAAAGCACAGATCCCAAACCGGTTCTCATGGTTCACTTTCAGCTTCACCAAAGTCACTCACCTTCCTTACACAATCCAAAATCCGCGATCTTCACAAATCCTTCAGCATCTAAAAGGAGATTATCCAATTTCAGGTCCCTGCAGGCAAAGGAGAGGAAAGAAAATGGTAAATGAAGTCTGAGGATTGCCATCCAACAGCTTTTTTTTTGCAAGACGCAGAAGGATAATAAAAAGAATAAAATCTAAATTGAGTAAAGTCTGCATTTGGTTTAAATAACGTATTATTTGGAAGAGTCCTCTTAATTTATTGGTATTTCCCTGTTAATGAAAGGCTCAGAAAGGAGTTTGGAGCTGGGTGGGGCTTATTCCTCTGGAAAAGAGCACCCCACAACAGCATGACAAATTACTTGACTATCACAGTAAAAAAAGAAAGCAGTGACTTACAGGTGTCCCCCAGAACGTATTGACAGGTCACAGAGGCTTAATCACCTGCGACATGTCAGATGAATAGCTTCTAGATGACTTTCTTTACTGTAAGCATGATGAACATGCCGATAGCAACAGGCGACGGGGAAAATAAAGACAGACAGAAAGATCAGAAACCCCAGCAGGATGGTGGGGTCCACACACAGAGCTACAGGAAAAATAAACTTTCAAGTTGCTGAATTGTCTTATACTTGATTCTTTGCTGCATTACCTATAAATAATTTTCTTCTCATGCAAGAACTGGAGCCCCAAGACTACGCAGGCTGTATAAAACCTAAAAGAGACAAATAATTACCAGGAAATATATATGAGAATAAAGTTAAAAATATATAGTGCCTGGGAACTAGACTAAGTCTAACTCACTGTGCCATATACTCCGGAAAGACATCTTCATGTATGCGCATCATAAGATCACCACCCGGAGTATATTCCATCACAAAACAAGCGTGATGAGGGGTCTGGAAACATGCAAACATGTTCACAAGGAATGGATGATCAGAAGAATTGACCACTTCAAATATTCGCTTCTCACAGTTCAAGCTGCCAGGATTCAAAGAATGAAAACGTCAATGTTAAAACTTGGCAGAAAAGCCCGTTTTGAGAAAGACAGGATGAAGAAGAAAATCTTTACATCTTAAGTTAGAGAAATAAAAAGTGAGGGCTAACACAATATTTATCTTAAATACTTCCAAACCTTTAGAGTGTTCTTCAGGTGTTATTCCCCCAGAAGCTAGAAAGCAGCACTCCTTATTCCTGAGTTTAGTTACCCAAGCCTTAAGGTAACATTTAACCTTAATAGTACCATGACCAGTACACATCATACCTACTAACATTGGATTACAGGTATGTTAAGGTAGTCCCTGGCAATAGTACCAGCTCTAAGCAAAGCTCACCTATCAATTTCATCTCTCCTAATAATATCTTTTTTCTTCAAGGCTTTGATAGCATACAGTTTCCCAGTTGCCTTATATCGAGCCAGCAGTACCTGCAAGACAACAGAAAAGCTGTACTTCAAACAAATCTGTAATTCCCTTATTGGATTATTTTGACTCCCATTGACACAAACTATTTCCATCCACTCCAGACAGTCATTCTCAAAACCAAGCTCAAGTAACTCCAAAAATGGAGCATTTTCTGCTCCTTGTGCTGCGGCAGTCCAGAAGGATGTCAGTGCAAGTCAGATTCTCTTCACAAACAGCAGTATCACAGCTGGGTGATATGAGCTTTATGAGCACCTCAGAGCTCTCACAGCGAGAGCTGTGCACACAAGTTTTTGGAAATGGAGTTATTCCACTAGTGATCACCATGATAACAAAAGGAATGGTAATGGTGTGCTTTGTGAAATGACTTAACACTCCCAGGACGGTTTTCTCCAGGCTTTGAAGCTGCAAATCTTCAGAAGTTTTGACTGTTAATAACAGTTATCAGCTGCTTGTGTGGTTGGGCTGGGTTTCTTTGGTACATCTGCATTGCAACAAATCTCTTCCGTACTGCAACGTTTCTATTCAGACGCTGAGGCAGAGGCCCATCCTCCCAACCACAGTCCTCCTGCCCTCCTCCACAAAGCATACACTTCTATACTACCTTCCCAAAGTGGCCACGTCCCAACACAGCAATGCAGTGAAAATCCTCAAGCTGAACTGTCCTTTTCCTGCAGACAAACGAAGAAGAATTGCTGAGACAATACCCAAAGATGCATAAACAGATAGCGAAGGAGCATGTATTTACGTCAGGGGAAGAAGCTCTGTACAGCAAAAGGCAAAGCAAACAGCTGTGTCAACCGCTCCTTGCCTAAGCTGAAATCCTGAAAACTTGGGCTTGCTGCTGCTGTTCTGCCACTGAAGAAGGGAGCAGGAATCCGTAAGGTAGGAAACAGCTCCCAGTGGCAGCAGTCTGACTTCCAACAGCAGTTGTGTTCATCTGACATGGACATGTACATCAAGTGCTAGCAGGACAAGAGCATAAGGAGAAGTTTTCAAACAGCAATTGGAAATGAAACATGATGAGACAACAGAAGTAAGATATTGCTGGGAAAAAAATAGCTGAATAAAGAGATAGAATGTTACATCAGCCACAAGTTGTTACCAAGGAAACTCAGGCTGCAGAATTGCTTGGAAAGAATTAAAAAAAAAAAAAACAACAACAAAACAACCCACACCCTAAACACTTTAGTCCAGGATCATCTTCAAAAGGCAGCAGACACTCCATACTCTTCCGGCAAGTGAAATAAAGGGCTAAGTATCCACCCATGAAGGACTCAACTCCCCCCTCAGCCTTCTCAGAGAGAAGGTAGGTAGGTGCCTGACTGTATCCGGAGCACATGGTTTTGAAGATGGGACCCCTCCAAAGTGAAATTATGAACATAATTCTATGATCTGAACTGCAAGATCAGCTTAGATAGATTTTGATATTTGTGCTTTTTCAGTCAGTATTTATTCAACAACAGTAATTTTTTTTTACTTGTCCTGTTTTTGGTATATTTACTGCTGTGTATCCTTGTTACATACAAATTGTGTGCATATAACTGCAACAGACTACAAAAAAATTACTGTTTTATGCCCCCCTACGTAATGAAAGACAGTGAATCTTGTGTATCAATGGAAAGAGAAGGGTGTGAGGGATGCCAACAGTGTTTCTGAATATGCATTACTTAGAATGCTACACCATAAAACTTCAAACGCAAGGAAGCACATGGGAGACAGTTAAGTGGCTTTATCTTCTACTAAAGTCATCTATTACATCGTGGTGTAGAGCCTATCAACAGCCTAAGTATTGGGGTTAATAAGCCGATAAGGTGCAGCAGATATTTGGACAAGTAAAGTTCAGTGCAGACTTTTCATGGTATTGTCTACACTCAGCACTAAGAGTCTGCTGCTGAGAAACCAAAGCGTACCCTGAGCAGAATTTTAGACTGCACGCTCGAGAATTTCAGCCCAGTGCCCCTTTAATCTGTGACCCAAGACAGTCCACGCTGTCCATAGTTACCTTGGAGATGCCAGGATTGGAAATTCTGCTCCAGCAGAGCTGCAAGACTTCTCCTCAACGTGCAGCCTCTTCAGACACTGGGAACAGAAAGGAAATTACGGTGTGTCATCCTCTGGAATCACCAAGTCAGACCTGAACACCCACAGCCAAATTTTCTCCTCTGTCGTGATCCCACATAACCACAGACAAGTTCTTGCAGTTGATCACTGCCTCTGCTTGGAGGGAAGCAGCAAGAACAGATGGTTTATGGTCACACAAAACTATTCCCATGTACAATATTTTTGATAAGGTCAAACCCTTTAAAAAAAAAAAGCTTTTAAAAGTCTAGGATAAAACATTTCCTTTCTAGAAAAAAGGCATCTCATGTCCCAAAAAGAGCCACAATGGTCAAAGAATGCAGTTTCCTCCATCACCAAAGCCAAATGAGAAAGGGTAAGACGTGGTAGAACACAAGTCATCAACCATTATACTACTCAAAACAATTTTCCTGCTCCTTCCTGCCAGAAAAGTAGAGCTCTTCTTGGGTTTGCCCAGTTTCTTTAATGACAAAGAACTTCATCTGGTCCTAAAAACCTGCCGACCCTCCTTTCCCACTTTCTCTGTGCAGTCATCTGTTCTGTACTCTTGCCCTCAACTCCCAATGCTGACCTATCTCCCATTTTGCTTCTCCAAGAAAAGCAACTTATAATTAAAAAAAAAATATTAAAAAAATAAAAATAAAAATAAAAATAATTAAAAATTTAAAAATAAAAATAAAAAATAAAAATAAAAATTAAAAAAAAATAAAAATAAAAATAAGTGCAACACTTTTGTGAAGTCTTCATGCCAAAATAGCTCACTGAATTCCGAACCCCTGGAGATCAGCCAGCTAATGAGGAGGCACCCGCCTAAAGTACAGTTGATTTCTCCAGTAATAAACAAATAAGAAGAACCGGGCGTTGAAAGAATACCGATCAACAGAGAAAAGTCTCCCTGTCAGCCCACGTGATTACCGGAGAATCTGCAGGAGACGGTGTTGAATCTTTGGAGTTGGCCATCAGAAAAAGGCGTGGAGGCTTGGGTGGTGCTTCGTCAGCAAATGTAAGCTTAGCCACAGGAAAGTCACTGCATTTGTAAGACAAAATTGAAGGAGATTGCTTTAGGGCAGAAAATTATACACAGGCACCTTTCTATCACCTTTGCTAGGTAAGCAAGTTGAGTTCAGTCCAATACACTGGACAACAGGGCTCCCTGACTCACACAAGTCTGTGAAGTATCAACAAGACATACACTCTCCTAAATGAATGAAGAGAAGATGAGCTATTAAGTTGGTGATGGTTAGACTCACATTCCAACACTAGCTCTCTGATGCTGTAAAATCAATGAAACATCAGTGTGTAGGAATAAGTCACTATCATCAAGAATTAAAGGAAGTCTTGATTTTAATAGCAACACAGGAGTTGACTCGATTTTTTTTCTTTTCTAGGTCTTGTGAATCAGTGGGAATAGTGTCATTTAGAGAACGACTAATTCTTTAAAAATTAATTTTAACAATTAAAAAAATTATTTTGGGGGGAATTTTCTTCTACAGCATATTTAAAAGCTTAGCTATGTACTTTCTGAGTGCTACATTATGCTAGTGGTTGGGGTACATGTAACCTCCAGAAAGAGCAGTGCATTTCTACCACAACAATCACATTGTGACCTTGCAGAGAGTTCAGTTACCATACTGGTGAAGACATTTAACAAGTGGAATTTCTTTCCTTTAGAGCGCAGAAACAGTCCATCTTTTTGTGTATATAAAAGAACTTTTGAAAATCTGCTTTTGCTTTTTTTTGTGTGTAGCACAGTATTTACTTATGACCACTTTTATGCCCACAGATCATACTGCAGAGGAAAAGAAAGCTGCTGAAGTTCCCCCGGCTCTGGAACACGCTGCTTGTCAGGACAGCAATTCTGGAAATGGGTCCAAGTGCTAGCAATAAATCAGAGCTAGCCACAGCATATTGAACATCCCACTAAAACCACATCATTTCAGGCAGCATTGGCTTTTCTTAAAATCCTGAATTAAGTGCCACAGATACATTTTTCTCATCAGTATCTTCTTCCACCTTAGTAAGGTACATCAGAATTTTAAGATCTATCCTACACCCATTTCAGGGTGTCACCCAACAACACTCAGAACACGACTTACCTGCTCAATTTGGACACTGAATCAACAGGACTTTGCAGGGGAACTGGAGAGAAGTCTGTGTGAATGGGATCATGAAGTGGGGGACTCAGCGTGCTCATGGAACTACACGGAGGGAGGAAACTCATCATCAGGCGACCCCAAGCAGCAACATTTATGTTCATCTGAGGAGCTCGGAGAAATTCCTTCCCTGGAGGAGTCAGAGTCAAAACACCAGTGAGATTACAATGCACACATTACAATCTCATGTACTGCTAAATTATTGATTTCACCCAAACACCAGTGGGTTACTCAAAAAGGTAGCCCACCCTAGGAAGAATGGGCTTTTTTTCAGGGAAGAAAGTTTAATAATGACGATGATGAAACAGATCTACTATTTCACCTAAGTTTGGCTCCATATAGTATCGTAAAAAATCCTCAAGTAGAAATTGCATAAAATATTAAAAATTGAAATAGAAGAAAACCTGACTTAAAATCAACAGTGCGTTTTAATCATGCAGCCTGTTAACAGAAAGGTTCTGAAAATGTTTTTAAAAGAGTAAAACATTTGGGATGTTTTCATTGTTTTACTACTTCCTGAAGAATGTAAGTATAAAAGCTCATTTCTCCCCACTGCCAGGATTTCTCAGTATGTAAAGTCTCACCTTCTTCAGCTTCACAAGAAAGAATTTGCAGACAAAAAAAGAAAGTATGCAAGTTATTCCAGTCCCTAAACTGGTAAGCTGAGATGACAGCTCTAAAGACTTGACAGACAATGAATACAGAATCATAGAATCATTAAGGTTGGAAAAGACCTCTAAGATCATCAAGTCCAACCATCTTGGTTGACTGGAGCCTGTTTATGCTACAGTCTTCTATAATTCAGGGTTTTCCAGAAAACCTTTCAATATCTGTTCATCAGTAACAGCATTGCTGGTTAAATTAGTACAGCTTGAGTCCTGGCCCTCGCTAAGAAGTCTGTTAAATAACTAGTAATTATATCTTCCTAACACTGTTCACTGTGAACAGAAACACCACAACAATATCACATTACACACCCCGCTGCAGCGGGGCTGCCTGCACTTTTTGTGACTGAACAAACTTTCACATTCTAATAAAGCCCACCTGCTCACACACGGTAATTACCAAGCATTTTAATGGGTCTCCCAAATTTAATGGGATAGGGGTGCATTCCAGCCTGCTTGTGTAAACCTCTGCCCTCACCTGCACACCCTAGACCGTAATCACTCTGTTCTCCAGCAGCTTACCTTTCTGTTTGGGGAAAATGCGTTTCTGTCGCTGCAGCTTTGGCTTTCTCTCAATGACCGGATTACAGAACATCACCTGCCAGAGAAGCAAAGGGGATTTGTCAGGATTCTTCATTTACACTGTGAACACAAACTTTCACACATGCCCACTCTCCATCAAATCCTCCATTCATATCTGTTTGGTAAGTTAGGAGTCACGCCATTGACTCCCAACTGCATTACTGTAGCTTCACCCTCTAAACATCTGTTACATCAACTATGGGTATAGATGTTGGAATTTTCTGCTACCTGAAATGCAGAAAAACCCCAAAATTTAGACTAACTCATATCCCAAACAAAATTAATCCGATTTGTAAAGCCATGTGTAAAGAACACAGGCATTTCTAGGGCAAAAAAAAAAAAAGTGGTAGTCTGTGGCACAGAAGTAAAAAACAAAAAACAAAAAAAACCCTCCACAAAACAAAACCACAAAAAACAGGAAGGCAGGGAGAGGAGGCAAGTTGGGTACATGAGGTCAAGATCCTGCTTTTGGAAAGATAACCACAGGAACTTTCATCACAACACAGGAGAAAGTACTGCAGCTTTTAAGGGATTATCTGGATGATCTCTTCATTGATGGCACTTCAAACTATTATTAGCCTCAGAAAGATGATAAAATAAGCATACCCAGAGGGAATCTGGAGCTCAGATTCTACAGTCTCTGTGATTCAGTTCTGACCATTAAGTCATATGTGTAATTAAAGTGTCACTGATGACTAATGATGAAAGCAAATAAAAACCAACGTATTTCACAGCACACACACATATAATTACAGTGGAGCAGCCAAAGAGTCACTCCGAGCTATGGCACGTGTACATCTTTTATATCATGTCGTTCCTTATTTGTGTACGTGATATTAATGCAAAAGGTGCCATTCTACCCTTTGTTCTAGATCAGAGTTCTCTGAAAAAGAAACAAAGCTTACATTTATACCTCTGCAAAAAGCATTCCTTGGGGTTCGAGTGAGAGGCACATCCCGTGACGTTCGTTATCAAGGAAATCATCCAAACGTAAAAACTTCACTGCACACAGTTCTCTCCAGTCTCTCCAATAAATTGCAATTTCTAGCTCACGAGACTGGTGGGATGGGCGAGTGGTGTGGGAGAAAAAAAAAAGCAGAAGAGTTACATACTGCCCCATGCTCTGGAAATTGCACATGCTACTGTAAAAAAAAAAGGAAGTCAGTAAACTAAACAGTATGCGTAAGGAACTTCTTTACTCCTTCCGTTTCCTGCTTTCTCTGATGTTTCCAGCTCCTCTTAGCTACAGACCCTCTTGGAGATGGCTGTCTTGGCTTCCCATTTCAGAAATCCCTGTGAGAGCCACTTTGCTGGTAAGATGAAATAAAACTGCTCAGATAAGGAGAGAAGAACAACAGATGCTGTTCACACTGAATCTCTGCCAGAGATGCAACTGCCTTTAGGGGAAGACTAAGAGAACCGTCAGTAAAAGGACAGGGGGACGGCAACAAGACGGAGTTGAATGAAGCGGAACGGCAGCTAAACAAATAAATCGGGGACGGTGAAATGGAAGAACAAATACAACACAGGGAACCTGCGGCAGACTTACCCGGTCCAGCTCAATGACAAAGCTCTGGTCCCATGCCTGGTTATTAACTGGTCCCCAGTTTGTTTGGCCAACCACTTTATTGTCCACTTTGAGCACAGCAAGGACCTCATCTGGACAAAGGAGAAAACATGGATTATAATCTTTTACCAAAGAAAATCCGTCATGCTGAAGGTGAATATCCCAATCAAATGTAATTTCCAGGAGAGTACTAGGAAGACCAGGTATAAGGCAGTTCATTTTCTCTCTTAGTTTTGCAGAAACCAGGTTTCTCACAGTTACACTCACACCAGGCTAACCCAGCACCGTGGTGAGAAGCCCCCACGCTCCCATATGCCACTCACAATTCAACAGGGAACTCCATACTCACTACATGGCTCTTCATTCCGCAGGTACTTTCCTGCAACACTACGGCCATGGATACCCAGGCCAACTCGTGTTCGGGAAAGGGACCGCAAATCACTTGGGCTGCCACAGATGGGAGAAGAACTAGTCATTCGGGAACGTCCTGGAACGTTTTCCAATAGATCCTGACAACCCATCAGTCTCACTTCCAATGTTCCTGAGGAATTTAGGAGAGTAAAGCATATTATTATGTAAAAGAAAGTGATACCAGTCAGCCTGTCCTCACAGGGCTCCAAGAATTTCTCAGATTAATGATCTATTGGTTAATAGTTCAAACTACCCCAGATTAATAGACTGCAAATCCATATGATCAGAAAGCTCTGGCTGGCCTAGAAGTCGTAAGCCCAGCTCCTAGAAAAATCAAATGTCCATATAACAGGAGGCATTACCACAATGAGAAGAAGTGCAACTCAGTTTTCCCTCTGTCCTCCTCACAATAACGTGCCAGGCAGTATCTCCATACCTGTAAGGGCTGTAGGTTTGATGACTGAAGCGGGTTGGATGCTGCCATGCTGAGCTCCCAGGGAGGAAGTATTTACTAGTTCCTGCTTGATGAGTGCTCTTTTTGGGTGATCAGGAGAAAGCTCACTAAGCTGATGTTCCAAGGACAAGCGCAGCAGGTCAATCTTCTGAGAGGACTCTTGCAAACGCCCCTGAGCCTAGCAATGTGAAGTAGAACAGAAAGCAGGCAGAAATTTTCAGTGTACAGCCCCAGTCCGGGTTCTATTATTCCTTTATGAACTACTAGAGTAAGCTTCAAAAAAAAAAAAATTAACACCAGGTAACACCTTACTAATAAAGGACCAAGATGAAATATTTTTCCATAGATCCTGACCACCCCATCTGTGTCACTTCTGACGTTCCTGAGAAATTTCACCAAAGCAAGAAACGTTATCCCTAGAAGGAAAAGTGATCCAAATCAGTCTGTCCCCACAGAGAGACAGCTTCCCAAATTAATAACCCTCCGTCAACTCTGCTCATTCATGGTAAATCACTAATGTTGAGGCATGACACCACCCTCTCGAGAAGGCCTGAACAAGTGCTTACCTCAGCCAAAAACTTGCGATCCTGTACCCGACTTCCTCCAAGGATCTTCAGCACATTTTTTGCCCCCTCAGCTACAGCAGCTTCAATGCGTAGGTGGTGTCTCAGCTCCTCAATACGCAGCTCCAAAGCACTGATGGTGGTCCCCATCCTCACTGGCCATTTGGGAGATAAAATATGGTAAGGATGAAAATTGACTGAGTATTGTGGATCTGTTCTGGGCTGTACCAGTTACTTAAAACACCTTACCTGCTGGATCCACTGTATCTTCCATCCCTCCTGCTGACTGAGATACTTTCACAATGTGCATGCGGATTATTTCAATCTTTGTCTTGCTGTCCTGAAGCATCTGCTGAGCTGTAGCCAGCAGCTTCCGCTCCTGCCAAAAAGAAACCATATGCAGAGAGGGAACCATGCTCATTAAAAATGGATTATGATGATGTGTTCACATATGAGGACGAGGTGGTACCTGCAAGAAGGGTCATGATTCTGAAGTGGCATACATAAGCAGTTCTGTAAAGGAGACACAGATGAGGATCAAGGACTCAGAGATGACTGTTTCCATTTGTAGAGGGAAAGGACAGGTCCGGTTAATACCAAACCTTGCAATCACTGAGACTGGTGGTTCACTGGTTACTAGGCTTACAGTGTTTTGTGAGCAGAGGTTTTGAACAAATAAAAATATTACAACCCTCTACACTGCTGGTCTTAAGAATTAAACTTCATAATAAGCTTGGATTTTTTTTTTTTTAATTATCCTTTGACTTTTAAATACAGTTATGTGAAACTCGAGAAGTGGGATGAATATGAAACCAGTAAACCTCTGAAGATTTTTCTCACATAAAGAGGTATCACACGCTGTGCTCTACCATAAAAACCGCAGTGATATCGAAACATCACACCAACTCTGTGCACAATAGCAATGCTTTTTTAACTTTCTTTCCTCAAGTCAGTGACTGAACGCACCTTTTATACCGCCCTTACGACCTTCCCAGGCTTGGAACAGTTTTTCTAGAGACAGCACTTCTGCCATGCCACTTCCTACAAGACACTTTTCTCTAGCTCAAATCTGCCTCTAATCTAGAGTCACTATAAGCATTGAGGTTAGATGTATCAACAACTCTGTTCATCCAGCCACCTAAGTCAAGCATCTAGACCAAGGGAGTAACATAGAGTCTGCAGGTGGCAGCGAGAGGCAGGGCTTTCCAAAGGGCCATTCACCTGTTTGAGAACGGTAGCACAAGCCACCCCCTAGGTTCCTAGCACTTTCCACGGACACTACAGAAGGATTTATGTGGCTAAGTTAAAACAACATGATTCCCAACTCTGTCATTAATACCACTAAGCAACATTCAAGAGCAGAAGCACAATCAGCATCTGCCATATAAGAACTGCCAAAAGGATCAAAACTGCCAGACTATGTTCGTCTGTCCGGTCTAATAACCCCTCTCACAGTGATCACCACCAGATGCTTCATAAAAAGGCATAGGCAACCACATCACGGGCCAAAGTGGAATAAACTACACTTTCAGAGAAGCCTTTTCCGAACATCCTGTAATTACAGATTGGATTAAGTTCCTGGCAAATGAAACATGCACTATCCAATTCCTTTTTGATTCCTGCTAAATGCTTGAAATCTGTAACATGCTGCAGTAAGTCTAACACACAGTCGCAGTATTGGTTGTCCTGTGCAGTAACACGACGAGCTGTCACTACGCTGAGAACCGAAATGCAGAGCTAGGATTCAGTCAAGCAAGCTTCACAAATTAACCTCTTTCACACACCAGAGAGAGTTTTTGTGTATGGACTTTAAATACAAATTTTGATCCAGGAATCCATGTTCCCAAATGGTTGCTTATTCCTGCTTACCTTGGATGTTGAATACATTTGGATCATGTTCTCAGCTCCTTGTTTCACTTTCATTTCAACATGCAGCTGCTTTTTTAGAGCTTCAACCTTCCTTGCCATGGGGTCCGGGCTTCTTTCCCAGAGACAAGGACCTGGAGATACAGATCCATCTGCACAAACAATACAATCAGTTCCATTAGTCATCTTGTGTCATCTCACTGGGTTATAGACGGGTGACTCTATAAAAGAAGGCTAGGCTATAAAATAAGGCACAAAAAGGTCTTATCTACAAAACTGATCACAAAACAATGTTTCAAATGAAACTCAAGCTCATATCCATAAATATTTCTTCATTTATCAATGAACCTGTCCCAACAAGCACTCTTCCAATTTTATACTCATTCATCCTATAAGGTACTTGGATATTCAACTGCCCAGAAACTCTATTCAAATCTCTTCAATTCCGCCTACAGCCCCCCCTCCTCAATATTGCCCATGCCCAGCACCCTCAGCTGGTCTTCTCCCTACCTTGATCTCTCATATTGGCTCCTTTCACCTTTTTTGCCCCATTCTCAACTTTTTACTGCACAGATCATTTCATCAGCTAAAAACCAACAGAAGAAACTCCCACTGCTTGTGAGCCCTCAACACAAAAATACATCAATCCAATATATATAAATATTGAAGCACTATAACAGAATTTTCCCGTCAATCATGACCCAAGACCTACCTGTCTTGCTCTCCTCTTTGTCTGTTATGACAATCCTTGCGTTAAGCTCCTGAAGTTCCCAGTGCAGTTGCTCCAGTTTTCGGTTGGAAGATTTCAGCACGTGCTCTATGTGGACAAGATTCTTTCTGTCCGTTGTCGCTTTGCGCAGGTTTTCTGCTCCCTCTTTAATCTTCAGTTCTTTCTGTATAGCACGGCGAAGCAGTTCCTTCTCACCCTCCAGTTTTTGCTGGAAGCTTGGATCCATTAAGTTCACACCGTTGCCCAGCTGCAAGAGGCAGCTGCCCTGCAATCCAAGCAGCATTGGGCAAGAGGATTTCAGAGATAACATGGTTCAACCATTTGTATGATACAGCAATACCCTCTTAAGATTCCACTCCTTCATTTCTTTGGCAACTGGTTCACACAAATTCTGAAGCCAACTTTTTCACCAAATTTTCAAGAAGACCAGACCTACATTAAATTGCAGAGGACAGAACACAACTTTGATCTTAACACACCTTAATCTGGTTTTAAACCATAATGGAGAAAAACCTTCATCTTACTTGTCTCCTTGTTATTTCATGTCTACACACACATTTGTTCTCCAGGTATCGAAGCCCAGCCAATATTTGCCCTTGTTCTGATCAACACTAACTTTTACTAGTATGATGTAGTAGATAGTCTTATTTGGATATGTCTTGATGCCAGCTGTTCAAAGACACACCTCAGCTAAACTGTTAGAGCTTTTTAGGAATGTCACAAGCATGTGCTAACTCTCAGCTGCTGCCCCTGAAGAAGAAAAATGTAAAACCTACAGCTGTTTCTACAAAAGAGGAAGCAAAAGAGTAAGCGTAACTTTCTGCTAAATCTGAAAAGGGAACCAGACTGTTGTCCTGGTCTCTGTTCTGCCTGTGATTTACAGGCAGTAAGGCTGCTTTAAAACACTGATTATTTTGAGTTGCATTAGTAGCATTCAAGCTTGCTCTGGGCTTTGTTTTACATCATTTTCAGTACTTTTTGTTCTAGGGATATATGCCTCATCAACTGCTCTGGACAGAGATGCTCTGTTTACAGTCTGGACATACAGGCAGTAGCAGCACAGGTATATCTCAATGACCGAGTAAGGACCGAACTCGGACAGGAGCTGCGAAAGCTTTATCCACAAGGAAGCTACCTATCACCACAACAAACAGATCCAAGCAAGAGGTTACGATTCAGGAGAAGTGGCTTTAAGGCATTCAGACCAATTAATACATTAATAACCTAACATTAACGACTCATCACACTCCCTGCTTAAATGCAAAATAGTTGCACAGTTAAGCTCCACTACTCTAACCGACTTAACGTCGCAGAGCGTGCCAGTAACTGAAGACAAAATTCAGGGATTCCCGCTTGCTTTCACACTCTTTAATCAGTTGACCACATTTCCAACAACAAACCACTCTGGGTCTGTGTTATTCATGTACGTTACTGCACTTTACAACTGTGCTGGGCATCCAAAGCCTATGCCACTCACACAGCAACAATTATTTAGTCACATTAGTATATTTTGTCATGCACCTCAAAGTCCCAACCAAACGTCCTCGATCAGTTTTTGCTATGATTTCAGTCTAATAGCAAAATCATTAAAGAAGAAGGAGGAAAAAAATCTATTATAAAGTTGGCCTAAAACCAAGCTGGGTCTGCAACAGATACACAATAGCCAAAATAGGAGTTGTTCAGATTGGTAACAAAACAAAACGGTTCAGATTAACATCCTGGTTCCAGGAAGTTCTCGCCCAATTAGTAAAGCCAGGAACTAAGCCAGAGCTTTGAAAAATATCCAAAGTTTTGTGAGGAAGAACTTGAATCATGGAGTTCCTGAGTCACAGACAACCTTTACCAGCTGTGAGTTGGAAAATCAGAAGGCTCTTTATCCAGTCTGTAGCAAGTGACTAAAAGGCATTTGCTGGTTGCAATTCTCATTTAAATAATCAGAAAAAGCATACAGATTTATTTTCAATCCAAACTACAGAAATGGGTGTAAGCAATCCACCCCTGGATGTGCTCAGAGCAATGGAATGAGTCGTGGTACAAGACTAATGCTGACACAGGGTACTAAATACAGAGACCTGGCTATTGATTCAGAGAACAGGTACAGTCTGGGCAGCTCTCAGGTCAATTTTCCTCCACATCACTCTCTGCCAAAAGCTAGTCTGAATACCAGTTAATGCAGCCTGCTTAATTTCTAAATATATTTAGAATGTAAGCATGGTATGTTCTACTGGATCCTTCTTCCCCTCTAGGGATCAGAGAGTGCCATAACGTTGACATTGTTTGCACCAGGAAGACAAAATATTCTATTATTGAGGAGGATGGGGAAACTGAATTTGCATTTGAGTTGATCCATTTTACATTCTGACTCAGGAATTTCAGTGGGGTGTCAGGATACTGCCACAGCCCGTGCTGCAGCTGCTCTTGGGCTCCCGGGGAAGGTCAGTCCTCCAGGGTATGTCTCCAACGCAATCCCAAAAGACGTTTACAGCTCGCAAAGAAATACCCAAGCTACCTTAAATTAGCTTGCTTTTCTTACTTGTAGTGGGGCTGCCAGAACTCACCCAGGCCTTCTGAAGTGTCTAGCCTGCTTCCTAACTAGCAAAAATTTCAGCAGTATCAAAGTTCCACTCAGGCTTTTGGATTGCAGCCAGGGGAGATGCCATCCCCTCAGTTGTTACGCCCAGCTTGGCAAGGAACTTCACCTGCACAAAGCTCGGAGCAGACCTGGCCCTCACACTTTCACCACCGACAGAGAAATTGATTTACAATTTGATTTAACGAGCTAGCGATGAGGCGGCCATCCTCTCTGCAGACCAGGGCATTTTAAATCACACCTTTCACCCCAAGCTTTGTGCCGCAGGGATGAGGCCGGTGTTGGACAGGCTCACGCTAACCACGTTCACTCTTTACGAGAAAAAGCCACTGCAAGGTTTGGAGAAAGGCAAATGCAATCCTGTCTGGAGCCAGTCCCCTTTCGCACTCCGGGCTGCCCGAGGGCTGCTAAGGGCGGAGAGCGGCGAGCCCGGGAGGCACCGAGACGCGGAGAGCCCGGGCGGGCGGCAGCGCTGGCAGCGAGCGCCCTTTGTGCCGGTCTCTCCATCCCTTCTTTTCCCAGATTAGGCTTGAAACGCCTCAAGGAAAGAGGGCAGGGCATCTCCCCCACTCCGGGAAGCTTATTCCAAACAGCAATGTTTTTCCCAGCACGAAGGCTGGCTGCCCTCCCCCGGCTCCCGTGTGCCAGCCCCAGCAGCCGTCTCGCCTCCCACACCCCCTCGATGCCGGGAGGGGATTTCCTCAGCGGGCACCAACTTGGCCCGAACCCCACTTCCCTGAGGCGAAGAGGGACGCTTTTAGGGGATCCCACCTGCTTCGCACAGCCTCTCCCACCTCCCCGGGGCGCGGCCCCCGCGACAGGCG